GGGTTTAGGGTTTAGGGTGATTACCTATAATATTTTAGGGGGTTTCCCTATTATAACTATAGTATGATGGGTTTAGGGCCAAGATTTCATATAGGGGCCTCTAATAACTACCAACACTATTTTGGGGTGTTCCTTCTTATAACTATAGTATAATGGACCCCCATCCCTATTCTAATTGTGAAGGCCCCTATATTGCTTGGCATGTTCGCTTGTTTGGCAGCATGGATCCAGGGCTTGAGGTTCACATGAGTGCGGGGGGATTCCATCGCATGTGCGCTTGCTTACAGAAATCCTTCTACTTGGAGGCTCATGGGACTTAGTAAGTACCGTTATAAGCACCTTAATTGGGGTTATAGGTAATTATAAGTATAGTTACCTTATTTATAACCCTAGTTTCTAAGTCCCATGAACCTTTAAGTAGAACTTAAAGTGCGCATCTTCAGCAGCCAAGGTGAAGCAACATACACTTGTCAGGAGCTTTAGCATGCTCGGGAGGTTTAGCCGTACCACGGCGCCCAAGCAAGCAAAGCATCCTAAACCCTAAACCCCAAACCCTAAACCCTAAACCCTAAACCCCTAAACCCTAAACCCTAAACCCCTAAAACCCTAAACTCCTAAACCCCTAAACCCCTAAGCCCCTAAACCCCTAAACCCTAAACCCCTAAACCCTAAACCCTAAACCCCTAAAACCCTAAACCCCGAAAACCCTAAACTCTTAAACCCTAAGCCCCTAAACCCTAAGGTGGCTCCGCCTGAGAGACTGCTGCCAGCGCTCTCGGACCTGGACGATGCCGAGCGCTTGGATCGTCTCCAGTACTGGGGCTCCGTCAATCTGCACCCCGTCCTGGAGCTGGGGCACTGACCTTGACAAGTCCCCCAAAGGGGTTTAGTGTTTAGGGTTTAGGGCTTAGGTTTAGGGTTTAGGGTTTAGGGTTTAGTGTTTAGGGTTTAGGGTTTAGGGGTACTGCAAAGGAACGACTACAGCAGTTAAGATCCATGACAGTGATACAAAAGCCGCCATACTGACAACCCCGCAGCCTCGCAGGTGCAAGCTGAACACAGTAGATGAGAGTTTCAGAAACGAGCGACCTTCCATATGTAGTAGGATCCTTCTTACAAGGACTCCTGATTCTCTGGAACTCCTTTATTAGGTCTTCATCTGCATTCTTCTTTGCTCCTTGTCCCGTCTCAGGCTATCGCCCCTGCTGATGGCAGTGATCTGCGAAAGCCTACGCCTCACTTTCCGCGTCGCCAAGCTTCGAATCTACCCCAGCTTCAAGCCCGTCCCCCAGGAGGACGTCGAACTCCGGGCCCTTACAATGGCACCGGGTAGCCCTGAAGAGGAGAAGCTGGAGATGGGCGGCTTTCTTGGTGGTGTGGCAGCGTATCACGTCCTTTGTGGTGGGTTGGTGGTTCTGGCTGTCTCGAACTCCTGGATTTCCTCGCATGCAGGAGGAGGCGTTGCCTGGGAGTTGTGGGCAATCTGGCAGCAGCTTTGCTTATGGACCTTGTTCCTTCAGAACTTGCTGCGATGTTGCATGGTCGACGCGGAAGCTTTAGGTGCATCTACATGGAAGGCGGTGCTTCTCTACACCGTCCCATGCGTCAGCGACCTCTTCGATACCATGAAGGACTGGCTCATCACTGGCATTTGCTTTCTGGAGCCGAGGGCTATCTGGGGCTTTCCGGTAGGAGCCATCTTGGTTTCGCTGGAGCTCACTCTCCTCCTTGCAGGTCGCCTTCCCCGCTGCTGGGGTGTTCTTGGAAATTGTTTATAAGTTTTAAGGACTATAATCCCTATATAACCATATATAACCCATAAGAATTTAATTTTGAGAGGGCTTCTGAATCCGGCCCAGGCATCCCATTGCATGAGGAGATTTCCTTGAGCTTGCCTCTCCTGCCTCTGCAAGTGCTCTTTGCTCTGGCAAGCCTTTCCTTGGCAGCAGGGCCGGGGTGTGTGCGGCTCTGGGCAACGCTGTATGCCAACCTGCGCTATGGGCTCTATTCCTTCGTCGTGCTTCCCGCGACTGTACTTCTCTACGCCCTTCGGAGCCTTGCAGCTTTGCTCCTGTTGGCGCTCCAATGGCTGGCCTGCGTGGTGGCATTTCTTGTAATGGCCATCATTGACATTCCTGTCCTTGTGGTTTCGATCTTTGACTCCTCACTCATTCGGTCCTCTGTAAGCGCGGAGCGCAAGTGCCTGAACACTTATTGCAGCATGGCCTGGTACCAGCCCGGTGAGTGGTTCAACCAGACCAACACTTCTGTCCACTCGAAGTCTTTGACGGTGACAGATGTCGACAGCATGTCGCAAGAGCAGAGTCAGGACATGGAGGGCTGGATGCATGGTGTTTATGTCCACCTTGCAGATGGTGGACTCTTGTGCATTTTTTCTCTTTACGTCGTCATCTATTCGTACCTGCAGGTTTTAGCACACGAGGATGGCAAAAGAGATCTGCGAAAGAGCTTTGGGCCGATTCTGGAGCTGCGCAGGCCCGTGTCATATTGTATGGTATGATTAATGGGGGGGCCTTAAAAATTAGAATAGGGTTTTGGGGTATATGACACTATAATAAGGAAGCCCCCGCAATACTGCAGTATTGGTAATTAAGCATTTCCGCCCCTTTGTTATGTATTTTGTCTATTCCATGGTAAGAGATAGTGCGACATGCTGTTGAACCCTGACCCATGGAGGCCCCCGCGGCCTGTGGCGGAAAGATGCCCGGAATGGAGCGTGAGGTCGGCAGGGAACTTGTTTGTCGACTTCCTCAGCAGCTCTCGTTTGTTGATGGCTTGGACCCGCGATTGGCCGCAGGTGGGGCAAGCTACTTGGAGGGTCGGGGGAC